ACTATGTTGATTATTAGAACTTTATTAGTTTATAAACATTTACTTTAAAACTTTTATGCTTGTATTAATCACACCATAAACATGTTTCTATGCGTATTAATGTTATGGATTTGATTTTCAGTGAATTTTTTGCTTGGTTTTATGTCCAAGTTTGATTGTGGTGGAGTAGAAAATATTGTCCATTACACTTGTATCTGTTATCGTATTTATCGATAAATTGTATCGACCGTAGTGGTCGTCAGTATTTATCAACATATCTTAATCGTCAGTAATTACTGACAATTAATATCCATCGGTAGTTATCAACGGTTTAGATTAGTTAGTAAATATTTTCGACAATGTTTCTATCGAAAGATTTTTGTCCGTTAATAATCCATAAAAAACATTCATTAACGATATAATTTTGTTTAATGATGATAAATACTAATAATTGATAATTTCATTTTTTTTTGTAGTGTAATAAGAATTATAAGTCATTGATGAAATTGGTCATTGGATACGTTTAAAAGAAAATATTCACCTAAAATACAAATTCTAATTTACTATTAGACAAATTTTATCACATATTTATTATTAACAAAAAAATATGCGTCAATAATTAAAATTATGATATCCATTGATAAATTGTTATAAATTCAAGTTTATATATCAATAAATTATCTTCAACTATTCTAAGTAATTACAAAAATTGAAATATTTTTAATGTTATCTTTATCCTTTTTAAGAAAGAATTCATGCTTAAAAAAAATAACAACACACTTTTCATTTTTATTCGATATCATGTTATATTTAATAAACTTTACTTTTGATTTTGTGAATTCTAATAATTTTCAATATTATATACATTTAGCTCTTGAATTTACATTTACAAATTTACTAAATCCATAAATCAGTATTCGTATAAAAAATTTTACACAAACCGTAATGTTTTTGTGAATAACGAAAGCAAACCAGCAGAATAAATTGAAAGAAACATAAGAGAGAACTATTAGTTTTCTTTATAAGTATAACTTTTTCTCTCAACTTCTTTTCATTGTCTTATTCTTTTGTTTTTCATAGTTTTTACATAATAAATTATGGTAATGACTCTAAAACTTTTTCCTCAAACTCATTTATTTTTCAGCTCGTTATCATGTCGCAATTCTGATTGCGATAAATATAACTTTTTCTCTCAACATCTTTCCATCGTCTTCAATAAAAAAAACTTTGTTATATGTTTCTCTTATGAATCTAGACAAACATATTTAAATATAAAATAATAAAAAATATTTTTTAATACATTTGAATTTTTTATATTATTTTTTTTCTTAAAAAAATATGAAAGTTTATATTTTTAAGATTATTTTATCTTATTCTCTGTATCAATATATCGTGATACCATTTATTTAAAATAATTATAAGAAAATTTTAAAAAGAAGTTACGTACCCATAAGTAGGTCAAAGAAAAAAAAAGGCACGTACCAATGACGACGCAGTCAAGAATGAGCCATACGCGTGGAAGTTGAGATTTCGGAAAAACATTAGAATGAAAAAGACATGTCAAAATTCGTGGCAACTCGAGAAGAATCCATCTGCCACAGAAGCTTCATATCCAAACACCGACTTCCTTCTGTTGTCTGTAACGATAATAACATCAACGCGTTTGTATATTTCCCACACGTATTTCGTTTTCCACTGCATTAAGCAACATACCCAGATAAATCTATATATACTACAACTACATATGCATATTTCATTCCATATTTCCAACTTCAAAACCTCTTAAACCCTTCGTTACGTACTATAACAAAACAGTAACTTCGATCATCATGAATCACTTCAATCAGCAAGAAGCCCCTGGTATGTTTTCATTCTATCATTCAGCATAATGTTATGTTTTCCTTTCAGTTTTTACATAAAGCTTAACTTGAAGATCGTTCTTAATGGGAATGCTATTATGATGCTGCAGTATCATATCCACCACAGGTTCAGGCCTATTCTTCAGCTCCATATGTTAATGCCCCACCACCTATGGGATATCCTTCCAAGGATCAACCTGCAGCTGTGGGGTACCCTCAACAGAGGGTTCCAGAAGAAACCACGACCAGAGGAGATGGGTTTTGGAAAGGATGGTAAGTTCTTGAAAAATATTCTTTCACATATTTCAAAGCTTTTTACGTTCATGTATACTACCTTTTTTACTTTTTATTCTCTCTTTTTTTCTTAAAAAAATACAAAAAAAATTATATTTTTATAACCATTTTAATCCTATATTATTTGTTAAATAAACGTAAAATTGTATCATAATACAATCATAGCTAAAATCACTGAAATTTTTTTAACTGCTTCTGTCTTTTCATGAAGAGTAGCAATACCTTGACATATCAAAGTGTCACAAATACTCATTTAACATAAGAAAATGATTTTTTTAACGCATTTAAATTTTTTACTTTTGACACCATCTTGATTTACTTTCTATTCTCTTCTTTCTTGATAAAATAATCATTTTATCTTTATATTTTCTTTCAAATGAATATAAAAGTGATAATCATTTTATCTTTATATTTTCTTTCAAATGAATATAAAAGTGTATGTACAAGTGTGTCATGCTATCACTACGCCATCAAGTATCATTAAATTTTAAAATTATACATTGTGCTGATTTGAAAATTCAGCAATTGTGATGATTTGAAAATTCAATGAAGATAGTCTCACACGGTGTTAAATGAATGTTCAAAACTAAAACTGTGTGAAAGTATTATTTTTTTTTCATGAAATCAAACTTTTCTTTTAATCTTTTCCTTCTTTACTTGCAGTTGTGCTGCTTTATGTTGCTGCTGGATCCTGGATTGTTGCTTCTGATTCAATCATCGCACCATTTTTTTAGTCATTGCGAGTTTCCTGTATTGTATTCTTTGTAGTGTAAGAATAAGGATCTTTGTCCTCTACAGGACACACATGTATTTTTTATCCATTTGGTGAATGTCGTTCTTTTATGTTGTACACTGAATTCATTTATTTTTTTATTTAGTTACTTTATAAAGATTTGTTGTCAATAAGAAAAAAATATCGTAAATTATTGAGTTTGAGAACGTTAAAAGGTTTTGCGTAGGGTTTCCGTTACTTGGTGTTTCAATCTCAAACGCTTTTGCTGAGTAGATGGATAATAAAGAAAGAAGAATTAACCGTTTAACTATTTTTGGTCAACTATGCGAATTAGAATTTTAGTATCCAACTCCTTCTATAAACATTAGTTATATATTTATATATATGATTATGATATACAAGTTTTATTTTTAAATTATTTAAAAATGAAAATGTCTTCTTAATAGATTTATCTAATATCTTTAATTTTACAACAACGTGGTATTGTTGATGAGAGAGGTCATCTTCCTAAAATTATGATACAACCTTAAAACCATGTTAGGAGATAAGGGAAAATCTCCAAATGTAAATAGATTTTTTAATAACTCTTTTTAATAATTTTCTAACAACATAGTCTGTGATTAGTTCATTTTAAATATACGAACCGATAAAATAGTAAAATTTGTTAAAACATCGTGTTACTTTTAAAATTTCAAATTTATCCATATATCACAGTTTCCAGCTCAGACGGAACAAACCGATAAGATTGGGTTTTTCAAATGACACAAACGAGAATAGTTCAACATATTCCTTTACATCCCTACTTTAGACTACTCTGTTAAGCTCCAATTACATGACAAACAAACACCACTGTTTATATTTAGAATTTGAAGAATTTAAGTCTTTCAAGTTGTCATAAATAATTGTATTTATACACAAAACAATATGCAAGTGTGAAAATGGATATAGAAATTAATAAAAAACAGACAGGTTAGTATTAAAAAAAATAGATGATATAAAAAGAAATTATGGATGATGAAGATATTAAAAAAATTTGAATCAAAACAAAAATGGGAAAAGAAAACACTTCTCACCCATTTTTATTTACTATCTTTTTAAAAACAAAAAATTAGAAATTTATTCATCGGACAAAATTTGAGTGTTAAGACTCCGTTGTGAGCATAATGCCATTAAGGAGGCTTACCCGATTTGGACCTTTAGGGCAACTTCCTCTTGAAGAGGGATATATATAAATCCATTTATATTTTTTTTAGAGTGTTTCTTTCTATACCATCTCACATTTGTTTTTGTACTTCCACGTTTCAAAAATAACTTTTTTAACAAATTTCAAAATCCGCTAAAACTTTCAAAAATCTTTTAACAAATTTTAAAATTCATTAAAGAATTTTTTTTTTAAATTTCGAAATTCATTAAAAAAATGGTGTAAGGAGAAACAATCTTCTCTTTATGGTAGCATGTTGATATCTCAAGTATAACAACAAACTAAAGATCCCGGTATGTCCTAGATAAGGCTAGGTATGAACTTCAATAATAGGTACATGGGCAAAATAAAACAACAACGATGTGAAAACTAAAATAGAGAACAATCAAAATGTTTTCTTCGCCACTTCAAAAAAATTGTTCCTAACAATTGTCTCCCTTCCCACATATCTAAATTGTTGTCGGGTTTTTAAAGCTGCTGCTGTTGTTTCCTGTGGTGTGCCTTGTCTGCGTTCAACTGAAATGGGGGGCAGGAGGGACGTCAAGGGTGATTCCTGCTTGGATTTGGCCCCATCCAATAAGACGCCAATGCTTCTCAACACGTCGACTAAGTGCTATCTTNTATCAATATATCGTGATACCATTTATTTAAAATAATTATAAGAAAATTTTAAAAAGAAGTTACGTACCCATAAGTAGGTCAAAGAAAAAAAAAGGCACGTACCAATGACGACGCAGTCAAGAATGAGCCATACGCGTGGAAGTTGAGATTTCGGAAAAACATTAGAATGAAAAAGACATGTCAAAATTCGTGGCAACTCGAGAAGAATCCATCTGCCACAGAAGCTTCATATCCAAACACCGACTTCCTTCTGTTGTCTGTAAAGATAATAACATCAACGCGTTTGTATATTTCCCACACGTATTTCGTTTTCCACTGCATTAAGCAACATACCCAGATAAATCTATATATACTACAACTACATATGCATATTTCATTCCATATTTCCAACTTCAAAACCTCTTAAACCCTTCGTTACGTACTATAACAAAACAGTAACTTCGATCATCATGAATCACTTCAATCAGCAAGAAGCCCCTGGTATGTTTTCATTCTATCATTCAGCATAATCTTATGTTTTCCTTTCAGTTTTTACATAAAGCTTAACTTGAAGATCGTTCTTAATGGGAATGCTATTATGATGCTGCAGTATCATATCCACCACAGGTTCAGGCCTATTCTTCAGCTCCATATGTTAATGCCCCACCACCTATGGGATATCCTTCCAAGGATCAACCTGCAGCTGTGGGGTACCCTCAACAGAGGGTTCCAGAAGAAACCACGACCAGAGGAGATGGGTTTTGGAAAGGATGGTAAGTTCTTGAAAAATATTCTTTCACATATTTCAAAGCTTTTTACGTTCATGTATACTAACTTTTTTACTTTTTATTCTCTCTTTTTTTCTTAAAAAAATACAAAAAAAATTATATTTTTATAACCATTTTAATCCTATATTATTTGTTAAATAAACGTAAAATTGTATCATAATACAATCATAGCTAAAATCACTGAAATTTTTTTAACTGCTTCTGTCTTTTCATGAAGAGTAGCAATACCTTGACATATCAAAGTGTCACAAATACTCATTTAACATAAGAAAATGATTTTTTTAACGCATTTAAATTTTTTACTTTTGACACCATCTTGATTTACTTTCTATTCTCTTCTTTCTTGATAAAATAATCATTTTATCTTTATATTTTCTTTCAAATGAATATAAAAGTGATAATCATTTTATCTTTATATTTTCTTTCAAATGAATATAAAAGTGTATGTACAAGTGTGTCATGCTATCACTACGCCATCAAGTATCATTAAATTTTAAAATTATACATTGTGCTGATTTGAAAATTCAGCAATTGTGATGATTTGAAAATTCAATGAAGATAGTCTCACACGGTGTTAAATGAATGTTCAAAACTAAAACTGTGTGAAAGTATTATTTTTTTTTCATGAAATCAAACTTTTCTTTTAATCTTTTCCTTCTTTACTTGCAGTTGTGCTGCTTTATGTTGCTGCTGGATCCTGGATTGTTGCTTCTGATTCAATCATCGCACCATTTTTTTAGTCATTGCGAGTTTCCTGTATTGTATTCTTTGTAGTGTAAGAATAAGGATCTTTGTCCTCTACAGGACACACATGTATTTTTTATCCATTTGGTGAATGTCGTTCTTTTATGTTGTACACTGAATTCATTTATTTTTTTATTTAGTTACTTTATAAAGATTTGTTGTCAATAAGAAAAAAATATCGTAAATTATTGAGTTTGAGAACGTTAAAAGGTTTTGCGTAGGGTTTCCGTTACTTGGTGTTTCAATCTCAAACGCTTTTGCTGAGTAGATGGATAATAAAGAAAGAAGAATTAACCGTTTAACTATTTTTGGTCAACTATGCGAATTAGAATTTTAGTATCCAACTCCTTCTATAAACATTAGTTATATATTTATATATATGATTATGATATACAAGTTTTATTTTTAAATTATTTAAAAATGAAAATGTCTTCTTAATAGATTTATCTAATATCTTTAATTTTACAACAACGTGGTATTGTTGATGAGAGAGGTCATCTTCCTAAAATTATGATACAACCTTAAAACCATGTTAGGAGATAAGGGAAAATCTCCAAATGTAAATAGATTTTTTAATAACTCTTTTTAATAATTTTCTAACAACATAGTCTGTGATTAGTTCATTTTAAATATACGAACCGATAAAATAGTAAAATTTGTTAAAACATCGTGTTACTTTTAAAATTTCAAATTTATCCATATATCACAGTTTCCAGCTCAGACGGAACAAACCGATAAGATTGGGTTTTTCAAATGACACAAACGAGAATAGTTCAACATATTCCTTTACATCCCTACTTTAGACTACTCTGTTAAGCTCCAATTACATGACAAACAAACACCACTGTTTATATTTAGAATTTGAAGAATTTAAGTCTTTCAAGTTGTCATAAATAATTGTATTTATACACAAAACAATATGCAAGTGTGAAAATGGATATAGAAATTAATAAAAAACAGACAGGTTAGTATTAAAAAAAATAGATGATATAAAAAGAAATTATGGATGATGAAGATATTAAAAAAATTTGAATCAAAACAAAAATGGGAAAAGAAAACACTTCTCACCCATTTTTATTTACTATCTTTTTAAAAACAAAAAATTAGAAATTTATTCATCGGACAAAATTTGAGTGTTAAGACTCCGTTGTGAGCATAATGCCATTAAGGAGGCTTACCCGATTTGGACCTTTAGGGCAACTTCCTCTTGAAGAGGGATATATATAAATCCATTTATATTTTTTTTAGAGTGTTTCTTTCTATACCATCTCACATTTGTTTTTGTACTTCCACGTTTCAAAAATAACTTTTTTAACAAATTTCAAAATCCGCTAAAACTTTCAAAAATCTTTTAACAAATTTTAAAATTCATTAAAGAATTTTTTTTTTAAATTTCGAAATTCATTAAAAAAATGGTGTAAGGAGAAACAATCTTCTCTTTATGGTAGCATGTTGATATCTCAAGTATAACAACAAACTAAAGATCCCGGTATGTCCTAGATAAGGCTAGGTATGAACTTCAATAATAGGTACATGGGCAAAATAAAACAACAACGATGTGAAAACTAAAATAGAGAACAATCAAAATGTTTTCTTCGCCACTTCAAAAAAATTGTTCCTAACAATTGTCTCCCTTCCCACATATCTAAATTGTTGTCGGGTTTTTAAAGCTGCTGCTGTTGTTTCCTGTGGTGTGCCTTGTCTGCGTTCAACTGAAATGGGGGGCAGGAGGGACGTCAAGGGTGATTCCTGCTTGGATTTGGCCCCATCCAATAAGACGCCAATGCTTCTCAACACGTCGACTAAGTGCTATCTTCTCACCCTTGCTAGTGCAGACAGGGGATGTAAGTTGCAACTTTGCCAAGTCATTTCTCACAGCAATTACTCTAGCCCCCGTTGACATTGATCCTATGTTCAACATTAGCATCTCTCCCTTCGCCAGCTTCGATACCTTCCCTTGTCTCTCTGACCCTTTTGTTCGGACCCCAAGAAGCCGTCTAAGCAGGAAAAAGTTTACCTGCACGATCAATACAGAATAAGGTTCAGAAGAAATAAAGGTGTTACAAACATCTCTATCTTATCTCATCTTTTCAATTGCAAAAATCAAACTTAATTGATAACTCATTACTGGCAGCAAGCACAAATGGATAATTAAGAATAACTTGCCTCCAATTCAACAAAAACCTCAGGTAGTGATCCAACCTCTCCTAGAACTTGACCAACCAACCTATCAGCACGTGTCAGTGTGGGATCCATTGTTGTCCCAACACCAATTAGGCCTCCAGGTACAGCAAATTGAAGCTCATTTTGTTCGGCATACAATGAAACTATTCTTGAGTATATTGGTGTGCATCGGATATTTCCACTCTCATCTTTAACAACAATCCCAGGTCGAACTTCAATGAATTGATTCACCTTCAAAACACCCTGTAAAGAAAAATTTGTCGGGTGAGTCTGACCTTAGTCTTTTAAGCCACGTTACATAAATACCAGACAAGGTTTATTTCATTCTTTGATTTCGGAATAAAAATAGCAAGTATCAAAAATTATATAAATTATGCATTCCAGACATCATTACTGACTTAATAACTGCAATTCAAGACAACAGCGCAAATCAAGCATGACATATAGGAAATTGGCCATAAGACTTACCCTCAGAATGCTTCCACCAGCTACACCTCCTTTTATTTCATCAACCTCAAAACCAGGTTTATTGACATCAAATGATCGGATTACAATCATGTTAGGTGGAGAAACAAAGTTCCTCTCAGGGATTGGGATCTTCTTTACAATATACTCGCACACAACATCAATATTATACTTTAACTGTGCTGAAATGGGTACTACTGGTGCACCATCGGCAACAGTTCCCTGGCAAGTCACAAAAAGGGGGAAACTTTCATGTAGGCTATTGAAAAGGAATTCACTTGTGTAAAAGAAATCTATTTAAAGAAAACTCACCTGTATAAACTTTGAAATTGCTTCATGCTGATTGATTGCCACATTTTCTTGAATCAAGTCAACCTTGTTCTGAAGGATTATTATATGCTGTAGACGCATAATTTCCACAGCAGCTAAGTGCTCAGAGGTTTGTGGTTGTGGGCAGCTTTCATTAGCAGCTATGAGTAATAAAGCTCCATCCATGATTGCTGCTCCATTAAGCATAGTAGCCATGAGAATATCATGACCCTACGGAAATTGGTAAAGTAAAAACAAATATCACATACATGTAAAAGCAAACTAAAATATATATTAAATGATTTAGCCATTTGATTGGAGAACTGTCCTTACATTGCTTATAGATACCCAAGAGTAAAAGCAAAAAATATATATGACGAAATCTTAGGTGCTCTTTGCAGCACCTTTAGTTACTAGGTTAGTGAGCAGATTAAGGTGATATATGAATAAGAGAATGAAACCTTAATAGCAAGGGATATATTTAGATTTGAAAAATAATTCAAAAAGGGAACAAAACATAAATCTTGAATGCCACCAATACAACAGTTTTCTATCAACAAATGACAGCATTAATTGTCCCACTACGTAAGATCAGTCACATAGATCGCCTACTGTCATTGGACTCGATTAGAAACCAATATTCTCAAGGAACTATTCACCATGAGATCATTTTATTAATGCCCTTGGTCTCCTCATACCTCTTTTCACATGGCTAAAGAAAAGAATGCAACATGATCTATTCTCATAAGCAGTACTTCTAATAACAAAAAAGTTGTCATTTTTCCTTGATGAGCCATACCAAAATATCCCCTTCTTGTGGCCACATTCATATTTCTTCAATAAACACAAATTTTCAATATTCTGAACCAGTACCTATTATGCTCCTTGAGCATCACATTTATCTTACTATGTAAGATTGAATGTATACTATACCACTTTTATAGCAGTACTAGAGTAACTACATACAGTAATGACTAACTAAGATGGGGGAATACAAATACGAGCAAGAGATCTCTATTGCTCATTAAGAGCACCTAAGAATTTTTCATTTTGTGTGTATATTCATACATCATGCGCATACACAAACGATATCTCATATATTCCTTCTATTTAAGGACAGAAAATATGCTAAGGAGAGATGATGTATACAAGTAAAATGTCTCAATATTATATCTTACCAAATGTGCAGGTATATCCAATATTATAGCTAAATTAAAATCTAATGAAAAATATGCATTATGCAGTCCTAAATAATAATGTGAGTCCAGAACTTTACCGGACAATCCACAAATGAAACATGTCTCAGCAATTTCATCTTGCTGTTTTCAAACCCCGGAACATCACACATAGGACCATCTTCTTTCCCACTTCCATAAGCCCTGTAAGAAACAATTAATCAGTCCACCAAAAGTTAAAATAACCAGATATCATAATGGCTAATGAAAAAATAAGCACCCACTTGTAGCACATAGGCCTTGGACACAGTTCATCTTCACACTTGTATATTTTTGCATTTGCATAGCCAAGCTTGATTGTGATGTTACGCTCCAAATCATTTTTGAAACGCACAGTCTGCACAACATTCATGGAAACAATAGGTAAATAGTTTAAATGTCTAAAGATAAACGGTGCATGTTAATGATAAAACATGGCATCTTTACGGGTAAACCTGCTTTTTAAAACAGAAGAACAGCAAAAGGCAAACAACCCCATAATGTTAGCAATTTTGGGTCATTCATTCATATATATAACAAATCATTAAATGTGTTAGGATCATCGTATTTTATTAGCATATTATAAAATGATTTAATTAAATAAATGTGACTGAGGACAAATATTTCATGAACCGATTATTATTTAGAGACCATAAGCAATATTTCAAGACAAAGGAATACCTGGACACCTGATATTGCTTTCACAACTGTTGACTTGCCATGTGCCACATGACCAATAGTGCCTGTCAGGATGCAATTCTATACATCAATATCAACAGTCACAGATGGAAAGAGAAGCTTACCACAACTTATCTTGTACAGTTTAATTTCCATGGCATCAGCTTAAAGATTTCTACACTGCCAACCAATTAGAAATTACCCTATGTATTACCTTAAATACATTTTTAACAAAAGTGAACAGTTTTAATCTACATGGTAA